GAAATCCCGAAAAAAATTGACCGGAATTAAGCTAACGCTAACCTAATTCGGGCTAACTTTTCGGGATTCTGATCTTTTGGGATTTTGTTCGTCGGGATTTTGTCCGGCTCCCATTCTAGTATGAGCACTATTACTGTATATATGCAAAATCAGCGTATAACCATGCACACTGGTTAAAAATAAGTGATTTGTTTAGCGAAACTTTATAATTTTATTAAGCAATTTTGAGTAATATAAACTTAGTTACGTACATGGTAATATGCTAAAAAAAAAACGCCAATTATTTCACTATTAAAATAGCATTATTAACTGAGTTTACCAAACCTATTTTGCTAATGTTATTTATATATGTAAATTATTATCATATTACAATGACTTCGTCTATGTCCTCTGGTAGAGGTTTTAGATCATAGAAAAAGTAATCATCAGGTAAGAGTAACCAATCTCGAACCTTCTCAGAATTGTCAACTGGAGCGGAAGAGTACATTTTTCTCCGTAACTTCTCCTGATTCACAAACTCAGTTCGAATTGTCATGAAGAAATTAAATATTTTTGTATAGTAATGAATTGCATCAAATGAAAACGGAATCGATCATACGCGAAACAGTAAAAAAATCAAATTACTTACTCTCTTTGGTTTCTCCGTGTAGTCTTGATCCGATGAATGATCTTCTTCCTCTGAACTTAAAGTATAACATACTGATTTTCGTTTTCTATTCGATTTCTTTCATGCAAGAAAAATCATAAATCAGTTTCAGTCGATTAGAAATACAACATGGCTAAAGATTGTGCATCCATACCTTTGGCTTTCTATTAACGTCGAAAGATCCATTATTGATCCCGATTAATGAGTTATCCGCCTTGACTTTGCGAATGTGAACCGACGGTCCACTGACGGGTTTAGTTTCCTTCTTCCAACTTCGAGCAAGTTCATAATCAGAACCCTAGCAAATAAATTTTGGTGTTAAATAATATTACTGATTGCAGATTGCATTAAAAATTCTTTATTCGATTTTGGATCCCACAAGATCGACCCAAAGTCTCAAACGTAAGAAATTCCCAAAGATATTGTCTTACGCCTAGTGGAGCAAGTGTTGGATCGACCCAAAGTCTCAAACGTAAGAAATTCCCAAAGATATTGTCTTGCGTCCCAACACTGCTTCGTAGCTTGTCCCAAAGACTTAATTGACGCATGACCCAAAGTACACGCGCCAACGCCACCAAAATATAGTCGATACTGTCTAATTGCATATTGTCTAATTGCATATACTTTCTAACTGCATAAAAAATTTTGGTTTTTAACTATTAACACAAACATAGTTCTTATAACTTAAATGCATATACTGTTAGGGTATCCAATGCACTATGTAAATCAAATCTAAGTAATGTCTATATGATACATTTATATGATCGGATTTTTTTATGGCTGTTTCACAAATTCCTTTTTTTTATCGTTGTACAAAAAAAAATAACCGTAAATAAAAGTGTACAAAATTTTTT